GCGAAACGAAATTGGAGCACAGCATTGTTTAAAGAAAGTCTCATTTAAAGCGCTAACAACCGACTAACAACTTGCTCCTGTGTCATTGTATGCACATAAAACTACGCTGAATCTCCCCAATTGGGCAGCTACGACACCCGCCCCCCTTAGTCTTTGTGATGAATACTTCGTTGCCAGTGCACCGCGGTACCGGGCGAGAACTCCCTTCACATTACCGGCATTGCCTGGCTGAACGGCTTTCCCTTTCCAATGATCGGGCAGCGTTGCTGGCCTACGGCGCCGGCGCGCCGTTAGCCGTTTTACGGCCATTTGACGTGCCGTTCCCTCCTCTTGTCTTATGCAGATCGGGCTCTTAGTGCGTGCACGGCTCATGGTATCGGTCCGCCGCCGGAGCGGGCGGGGCCGGGCAGGGCGAGCTGCGCCTCCGCCTCCCCCCTCGGCGGCAGGTGCGGACGGAAACACGGACGGCAACAGCGAGGGCCGGGCAGGGCGAGCTGCGACTCCGCCTCCCCCCTCGGCGGCAGGTGCGGACGGAAACACGGACGGAAACAGCGACGGTCGGGCGGGCGCCGGAAGGGCGTGGGGTCTGTCCGCGGCACAGACCCGGGCTGGTGTCAGGCACGGATCGGACAGTTCGCGGCAGAGAGCCGCAGGGAGCAGTGCACAGCGCCTATAGTATTGTGTAGTCTTGAAAATTGATGCAGAAATGCCAGCTAAATAACTATTGGAAAACACCGACCTAAAATTCCCCGGAGCACTCATCGATTCAATAATCTGGCAATTTTTACCGAATTTTGGTTTCAAAGGCTGCAACCTTACGTCTTGTGGCCGAAATTCACTTCAGCACTATTAACAAGCGCAGAACGGGAATCCAAACTGGTTTCGGCCAAGTACGGTCCTCCGACAATACATTTTATACCCGCTGACGCCGCGCGTGCCCTCCCCACTCGCGGTGTCACTCGCCTGGCCGCGGCCGGACGGCGCCGGCGCGTCCAGCGCGGCTGGACGGCGCCGGCGCGTCCAGGCGAGCTCGGCTCCGGTCCAGTTACGAGGTCACGCCGTCCGCCACGTGCCGCGGGCCGCCCGCGACCGGCCGACCTGACGCACGCGCCACGTGGTCTGGTCCGCCGGCGTGGCGCCACCGCCGTTCCCGGGCCGTAATCGTAGCAGCACCAGTCCATCAGCGTGCGCGCATCTGTTGTGCGTGACGCGCAAGGGGTCGACCAGCTGTGCAGACAGTCCGCGGTGTTTCTGTTCTCAGTGTGCGCAGGGTATTTATTACGCAGTTGCGGGAAGCCTTTTTCTTCGAGCGGTGTTTATATTAAGCCGTCGTGATGTCTGGCGCAATGCCAACGAGAAGAACAGAGAATGGGGGACACGGCGGATGCGTGTCTTTTTTGTTCCCCGTGTGTATGGGAGAGAAGTCTTAGCAGACGTCCCGATACGGCTCGGCGCCACAGGGGGAGGGGGGAGGGGGGGGGAGGGCTACGCCAGGCGGACCGTGATTAGATTCGGAGTGTGCCTCTGGTCCTGCGTTATTACCGCGAGGTTATTGGTCCTGAGCTCAATTAGTGAGGGTGTGTGACTTGAGAACTGCCAGGCCGGCCTTGGTGGGCACGGGTCCGGAAACCTGTGGCCGTCCGTGAGCCGCCACGCGCCACCACTGGGTGCGACGCCCCGGGGCAGGGCGTGGATGGTTCGCCCCGAAGAGACGAGTCGGACGTGATGCCTGAGGGAGACCGATTGGTGGCCCATCTCCGAGGGCGTCGTTACGGCTGGGTGTGGGTGGAGAGGTGGATGGTCTGTCGTGAGATGCGTAGCCGGTGGTGAATTCGCCCCCGAACTGCGACAACGGCTCCCATGAGCACGCCTCCTCAACTTCACGAGCCGTTTAGTGCTCCGTTTCTAGCGCGTCGGTCGAGCCACGGCTCATTTAACCGTGGTCAGTCTGACCGGCGATTTCATCGCCATATGTGGCGGTCGCGGCGGCCGGCTGGCGTCTCGGCGGCCCTTCTCCCGGCTCCGACGCCGCTTTCCACCCGACCGCCGCGTCCGATCCGGAGCCGCCCTGGCCGCCGTCTCCGACCTGTTGTTGCGGCTGGAGTAAACACCTCGGCAGCAGCGATTGACAGATCACGCGGCTAACCAGGCCGTACGCCATTAGGGTAATCCCGGCCGAGCGCGCCGCGGCTCCGACCTGGCTGCGCCGCCGCCCAATTAGATCCTCTTGAGGCGAGAACTGGGTCAGAATAGATTTAAATAAGCTCGGAAAGCGCGGCTCCGCGCGCCGCCACGGCGATAGATATCTTGCTTAACGAGCTGGTCGGCGTGCAGCGTGCGTGGGATGCCGGTCGCCGCCGGCCGTGGTCGCTCACAACGACCGGGGCACCGCCCCCTGCACGTCGTAGACATGTACACCGCCCGTGAAACGCGCCGCGCGATTTAATCGGGATCACGCGCGGCGCGCGCGCCCCGCCCCGGCGATGTGACCGGGACGAGGGGCGCGCTGCCGGCGGGTCAGGGGTCGCGGTCGGCTCCGGTGTCGCCGGCTCCGCGCGGCCAGGGTCGACCCTGGGAAGCGGGGCCCGCCCTTGCCCGCGATGACCTGGAGGTGCCGCGCGCGCGCGTGTCGGCCGACTCGGACACGTGTCCGACCCTGACGCGGCCGGGCTGCGGCCTGATGCCGCCGGCCGGGCGGAGGCGTGTTGTCGGCAGTTAACCCTGTTAGATCAGCCGGATGGTGAGAATGGTGTCGGACGCCGGGCCAGGGCCGCGCGGAGGCTGCTCGTGAGGCGCGCCGCGACGTGACACCCTGCCCCGCCGCCGCTCTGCCCCGGCCCCGACACCCCGCTCCGCCGTCGGTTTGCCACGGCCCAACACCCCGCCCCACCGCTGCTCTGCCCCGGCCCCGACACCCCGCTCCGCCGTCGGTTTGCCCCGGCCCCGGCACCTTGCCCCGCCGCCGCTCTGCCCCGGCCCCGACACCCCGCTCCGCCGTCGGTTTGCCACGGCCCAACACCCCGCCCCGCCGCCGCTCTGCCCCGGCGCCGACACCCCGCCCCGCCGCCGCTCTGCCCCGGCCCCGACACCCCGCTCCGCCGTCGGTTTGCCACGGCCCCGCCACCCCGCTCCGCCGTCGGTTTGCCACGACCCAACACCCCGCCGCCCCGCAGTAGGGGCCACGCATATCCTGTCAGCTCACAGAGGGGCGGTCAGGGGCTCGTCATCGGTAGTGGGACGTCCCGTGCATTTCATCACGAAGGGCGCATCTTGCGGCGTGGGTCGCTTCTGGCGGCCCAGTCCCGTCTCGCAGACGGGGCCTTGTGTGCACTCGGCTCTGGTCGCCTACCTGCGGTCGCATCCGTCAGCCAGATGTATCTCGTTTAGATCCTCGAAGCGCCCGTGTGTGCGTCACGTGGATGCTAATCACAATCCTGACATGCTGAAGTTCCGCGAATGGCACGGGCACGATGCCTGCGACATCTAGGCGGCGTTGGATGTACTAGTAGATGCCCAGTCGGCCGCCAGCAGGGAAGCGTCCGGGGAGGCCTCTAATTCATTGCCACGATACTGACAAAATCGAGAGGTTTGATTGGCCCTCGCGTGAGGAAACGTGATATGATCGGCACCCGTGCGATCGCTGATGATCTCTACCATATTTACCTCCGCTGTTATTGTATGGCTCGGGAGAAAGCAGCGACAAGCCGGGTGAAAATAATATCGTGAGCGATGCTATCAAATTAGGACAACCTGAACCCAGGGTGCCATTGAGACTTGGTGAACCGTGGTATAAAGCACATTGCGCTGGTTTCACTGGACTCTCATACTCGGGACTTGAATCGAACAGACCACCAGCTGTCATGGACGGATTCCACCTAGCGCAGTTTGTGGGAACGTCGGTGGTTCGCAACGCGGAACACGCGACGATCATGGAGGGAGTGGGAGGTTATACTAAATTGTAGCGGCTGCCGGAATGAGAAACTTTGATTGGAGAAAGACTGATCGCTGCCACACTGCCGTCCGGCTGGTTTCATCAGCCGTACAAGTTTCAGTTTCCGGAATCGCAGATGACCCGCTGGAATGTCATCCCTGCCAACAGAAGGCTGGGGCGCCCAGACTGTGTGACCGGGCTATCGCACAGGAGGGCGAGCGGCACGGGCGTAGGTCGCCGCGGGCCCAGTCACACCCGTTCTAGGCACGGTGACGGGCGCTGGCCACGGCCGCGGCTATCTCGCCGTGACGGATCGATAACGGGGTGCGGGCCGGACGTGACGGCGTGCACGCCCCCCGCCGGCCGGCAGTGCGATGTACCGACGGCACGCGGCCGGCTGTTCCGGTGGCGCCCCGCCCGGCCAGCCGGCGCCGCTCAGTCGGCCGATTGTGCCCGAGGTGATGGTCCGGGTGTGAACGCCGGGAGCCGGCCGAAGCGTGCAGCGTGGTGGACGGCAGCGGCGACTGCGGCGGAGCGGCGCAGACACGCCATGGCGCTGGGCGTGCTGTGCGCCTGCGTCACGAACGGTGCGTATGCGTCCTCTGGCGTCCCGAGCATGTATTCCAGTGATATGTATAGTTATGCTCGATCCGTCTAACCGACTGCAGCGTTTTGAAGCGCCCGGCATTCGCCGCCTAGTTCTTGCCAGAGGGCACTTCTTTTGGACCTGCGACGCCATTCCCCAGTTCCAAAATGGGAATGAACAATGTTTGTCGCACAAGACCCGCAGCGGCACGGGTCCCAGACATCCGCGGCAGCCCCATACAGATTGTGATCGAGCGGCCGCGCCGACAGCAGGGAACGAGCCAGGTGTGGACACTAGCGCCGCGGTGCGGCATCGGGCCGAAACAGGGGCAGCTGCTAGACGGCTACAGAGTCTTCTTCTGCAGCCACTTACTTGCGAAGTTCTTAGCGCAAAACAATGCCTACGTCCAGATTAGTTTGCACTTTTAGTGGCATCCAAGTGATGTCTAAATCCTCTCGAACTCCGGGATTGTCCTAAACTCTTGGTAAATCCAAACCACATTTGCACTGTTCTGATGAGTATTTATTGAGACAAATCCACGTGCAGCAGCTGCTTCCATGACACGACATTGCATGGTGTAGGGACAGTTCGAGACAAATTACCGGTGCCGCGCGCTTGCGATGCATCACATAGTACATTCCTGAATGATTGCAGCAATTTAGCCTGTATCTGTATCGTTATGGGCATCGGTCGGTAAAAAAGCACCGTAAAACAGCAGTCTTTTTATTTAAAAACTGTTATGGGTAGTAAAACCAACATAAGATTTAGCTACAGAGTAATACTCTGTCGCAGTCAATCCAAGGCGTCATCAAAAGGGAGCACCAGCCGCAACAAGCTCGCCGCGTATTGGATACCCGAGTCAGCGCCGTGCAATCAGTCAGCACCCGCCCTTCAGAGCCATCGAGGTACAATCAGTCAGCACCCGCTCAACAGAGCCAGCGCCGTGCAATCAGTCAGCACACGCCCGTCAGAGCCAGCGCCGTACGGTCAACACCCGCTCATCAGAGCCAGCGCCGTGCGATTGGTCAGCACCCGCCTGTCTGAGTCGGCGCCGTGCAATCAGTCAGCACCCGCTCATCAGAGCCAGCGCCGTGCAATCAGCCAGCACCCGCCCGCCAGTGACGGGACAGATACCTCGCCCGCCGCCGAGAATCAGAAGAACTGGGCCGGCTTGCAGACGCGCTGCTTGAGGCAGACGTCGTAGCAGCACTTGTCGGCGCGGCCGCACTGGAAGTCGCTGCGGCAGGGGCGCGGCCCGACGGACTGAAGAGAGCGGCGCGGGCAGAACGGCCGCACCGGCGGGCACGTGCCCTGGTGGCCCTCTGGCGACAGGGGCGGCTGTGAGTGGCACGAACAGGCGCTAGCAGCGCGGACGCGCCGACTACAGTCGGCAGTGTCTAACGTGCAGGTTTCGAGATGCAGGATCTTGGCCCACGGTACGACAGCAGACACCGAACCAGCCCCGGCGGTATTTGAGCAGTACCCAGACAGAACATGCCGCCACTCCTCCGCTGCCAGGAGATGCTGGTGTGCAAAGTGTTAGAAGCCGGTACCGGCAAGAGCCGAACTTGGCCACATCAGTCCTGGACTCGTGCATCCAAGCCTGCGGCACGGGGCCGGCACGGGACCGGCACTACATTTTTATGATAATTTGGCATCTAAAACACCGGCATCTAAAACACAGATGACCACCAGCTGCATGACGCACCAGGACACGAGGCCCGCACAGAACGCCCACTCACGATCAACCGGCGGCCGATGTGTGATGGGCGTGTCATCGCAGCAGTAGAACCGGTTGGTGGGCGTCTTGCACCAGTAGGTGCAGCTGCGGGAGCGGTGGCGGCTTTGGGGCATGGCGCAGCAGGCGGCCACGCACAGCACGAGCAGAGCCGCGGCAGACGGACGCATGGTTATGGGGAGTCGAACCGCAAAGATCGGTAACTGGTCAAGCGAGATGTCGGTGCTCTGGAACAACATAGGCGACCAGTTGGCGGATGCAGTCACATTCATTTGAAATAACATGTACCACCAGTTGGCGGATGCAGTCACAGTCATTTGAAATAACAAGGGCGACCAGTTGGCGGATGCAGTCACTATCATTTGAGATTTGGCGACCAGCTGGCGGATGCAGTCACAGTCAGCCAGCATGCAAAATGTACAGAGTTTCGCCAGACGTCGCTGAACTCGTCGCGGTCCACGTCGCCGCCAGCAGCGGGGCTCACCGTAGCCGTAACGGGCGGCGGTCCTGTGGTATCGCTCTGTCTGGCTGGGTGCCACTGCAGGCCCGCGGTCATACCCCGGACGACCTCACTTGCCCTCTGGCGTTTGGGGCCGCGCTCGGATTTGATTGGTTCGCGGGACGAGCTGGGTCACGGTCGGAGGCCAATCAGGCTGAGGGTTTCGTGCCCGCGGGCGAGAGCGGGATGAGGCGTAGAACGCGGGGAACCAAGGCCTCTGTATCTGCGTCAGGAAAGAGGAACCGTTGTGTATGCCATAGCGGTATCGTTGCAAACCATTGCGAGGCGAAGGGAGGTCAATGCGCTAGTTTGAGGTTAGATTCTTAAGGCCTCCATTGTTGGCTGCCGATTTGGCAAAGAGTCCCATATTAGGCATAGCGTGACGTCAAAAATAACATGCTGAGGGATGGAAGCTATTGTGACTAGGTTTTTATGGTTGGGCTGCTCAAAACACGCTCAGGTATTACAACACTCATTTTTGTAGGATTTTTTAGAGTACATGGTCAGCTGTCTTGTCGCACTGTAGACTTTGATCGATGAACCCCTTAGCTGGGCAGGTTGGTCCGGCATGTAATTGATGGGCCTCTTGGAAACGAAAGCTAGCTGGGATTGATGCGGCGTGGACATGGATTATAAAGCGAGTTAAAATGCCCATGTAAATTCCCCTTTAGGAATGAAACCTGTTTTTTATAAATCATGCTCGGCCCGCTTAGGAGCCGGGATTTTCGTCGAAGTTGCGAAAACGTAAATTGCTTTCGGGTGCGATCGCGGTGAGGCCGATCGGCTGATCTGTCCGGCGAGCTCTGGCCGCAGTGAACCCGTCGTGAGGCGCTATCGAGGCCGCGCCGTCGGCTGTCCAGCCGCCGCGGCCGCGTGGGCCGGCCTCCGCAGGTCAGCGCGTGTGCCGACCGTCGGCGGAGGGCCGTGTCCGTCTGTGGCGGGCGGGAAGGTGACGCCGGCGCCGTGACGGGCTCGTGTCCGTGACGTGACGCCAGCCGGTGACGGGGTCGAGTTCGGCGCCGTGCAGTCCCGTTGCGCCGTTGCCGCGGCCGGCGTGCCACTCCAGGGCGGGCGGGGCCGGGGTCGGCGCGGGTCATGATCCGGCGGTGTCGGCTGACGGTCACGGTCGAGCTGGCGGGCTGGTGACCGCTCAGGCCGCGCCGCTCCGGCACCGGCGCTCTGTCGACCCTCCCTGTCCCTCCCACCGGCACCGTCCGGTCTAGCCGCGCCCGGACGCCGTTCCCGTCTGGGCAGATTCGCAACCGCTGCTGTCGGACGTCCGACAGCTGATGGCGATCGCGGACGGGAGGGGCAAGCGATACAATTTCAAGGCAATGGGAAGCTGCTTTTTCTAAAAGCTTGGTATGGGCCGCCGGCCGCCGGCCCCGGTCTGCCGGCGCCGGCTGCCGACAGGGCCGGGCCAACAGGCTCATTAGCCGGAGCCTGTCCGGGCGGCACCACTCGTCAGCCGATCTCCATCTCGGCGGAGTGACGGTCTGACGTCGGCCGCCGGCGAGGCCGCCACCCCGCAGTCGACCGCCGGGAGAGCGCCACCCCGCCACCCCGCCACCCCGCCGACCACCGCGGGAGCCTCAGATGGATCGCCAGGGCCTCAGACACGACCGCCGGGGCCTCAGGCACGACTGCTGGGGCCTCAGGCACGACCGCCGGGGCCCCAGACATGGTCGCCGGGCCTCAGACACGATTGCTTGGGCCTCAGACACGACCGCCGCCTCCTCCCTGGCGTTTGTCGGAAGTGCTGATGGTTAGAAGACCTGGGCGAGCGCGGGCGGTCCTGAGGTGGCTGTCGATCCGGCGGTCTGAAGCTTCAGTTGATGTCAGCCCCCGTCTTTGGGTTCCACCAGAGCCTCATGTTGGCATCGGACTCCTGGCGACCACCCTGTGGCAACATCAGACGACTGTTGAAATATCAAGTGGTAGTCTGATGACAGGTGACCGTCTTGTTCGTCACGCAGTTGATTTACCCGTAAATATACGTGCCGTTGGCTAGACCTGTAATGAATGTACCAGTTTAACAGCGACATGAGAAAGGACATAATATTAAGCCTACTGAGAATTGCAGAGTTGTCTGATTGCCGCATTGCCTTTTGAGTGGGTTGCATCAGATCTAACGATCCAGCTTATCTCGTGAAAATGACATGGTCTCGTTTGTTGCCCCATTTGTTTATTTCAGAGATGACTCGCCGTTAACGCACCGTTAACAGCGAGTTAACGCTGTGACTTGGCCTTTCTCGGCCGAGCTAGAGATGACACAAAATGGCTTAAGAGATGCGTGCTTTATGATCCCGTTGGACGTGTGTCTAAAGAGTGCGCCATGCTTGAATGCTTAGTGCAGAGACAAGTGTATTGCTGTAAGACATCTGGTTGTTAAGTGAGGGCTCTGTTGACATCAGTGATAGACTCTCTGCTGCCCTCTATTCCGTTGTGCGCCTCTGCCGACGTTTCTGCCGTCTGTTCTGCGGCTCTGCTGCGAACGTGTCGGTCATTTCTACTGCCATCTGCTTCCCGTCGTTGTTCCTCACTTCCGCTCGGCTGCACTGCTGTCTGCGCCGTGTTCTTGTGTTCTGCTCCGCTGCATGGTTGCCGGCCCCGCCACCCGTCACCTGGCTCGCTGCTCGACGGCGCTGTCTTCCGCTGCGCTGTTTTCCGCTGCGCTGTGGCGTCCGGCCGTCGTGTTCTCTGGTCGGCCGGGCCGCGCTCAGCGCGGCTCGGCTCGCTGCAGCCCCGCTATGCCGGCCACCCGGCGGCCTTCGTCGACCGCCGCCGCCGCGGCTCGAGCGCCCGACATTCCCACGTCGTGTTCCGCTAGCGGACCGCGCCGCCGTGCAAGGCCGCTCGTCCGCGGGGCAGGGGCGTCGGGGGAGATGCCGATGCCGCGCGGGCCGGGCCTGGGCGCTGGTGCCAGCCGGCTCCGTAGACGGTCTGTGCTCGCACAGGCGCCGCCGGCCGGTTGTGAAAGGGCGCCGTGATCAGATGGGAGCAGCCGACTGCTGCTCTCCTTTACCGGTCTGGCTCGTCTGGTCCCGCCGCCCGACCGGCCGGTCAGTGGCGTTTGACGGACCGGCCGTTTTTATCCGGGCTAGTCCTGTTCTGTTTACGCGCTTTTTGTCAGTATTTCGATAAACGGTCGATGAATCCATTAAGTTTTTCGTCCGGCTGTCAGATGGACAGGCACTGATTACTTCCGACATTCTCCTGCGGGGCGAGTGCGATAGCCCGTGAGTGTATGGTTGCTGGGTGGCACTCGGCGCTCGAGGCTACCGTAGCATGTCGCAGCGCCGTCAGGACGGCCGTGGGCGGCATGCGCCGTCCCTAAAGCCGAGAGGAGCCGCGCGGGATCACGAGGCGGCCAATGCCGCAACCGTCACGGCTCCGGTGGCCGCCGGCGGCGCCGCGCGCCACCGAGTACGGCCGGGCGTTAGGGGGAGGGGGTCGCGGGGGAGGCCCAGGTCATCGCGCCGTCGAATGCCGCGTGTCGACGCGCCTGCGCCCGTGCCCGCGCCGGGATCGTACCGTACCTCAGCGGCGGCGTATCGGGGACATCGGCAGCGCGCTGCGGCAGCCGCATCCGATGCTATCGCCGCCATCAATTTATGCGCCGCTCAGGTGCAGGCGCGGGTGCTTATCTGGGCGGCGGAGCGCGCCGTGCGCATGACCCCGCCCGCGGTCGGTGGGCGACTTGAAGGGTTGCTGTCGCTCGGCCAGGGAGACGCTGAGCAGGCCGGTCTAATCCAGCGGCCGAGCACCGTCAGCCTCCGCGCTCCGGTGCTCCGGTGTTGGGCAGCACATTTACTCCCTATGACCTGGTGACGTTTTATCCCTAGTGACGAAGTGCTAGGTGTGATACCACCGCCCTCTGGTGGTGGTGATAAGCCGGGTACCGGACCGCAGCTCTTCCGCGGTGATCAGATACAGGACGGCGCAGTTCATCTGTGCGGTGGGAATAACCATGACGAGGCATGTCCAGCCTCCGATGGGTTAGCCCGTGCCGACGGGCTCCCGCGCAGATGAAGACCTCGCGGGCGGAGCGTCGCTAGGCTGCGCTGAATTGGCGGCGGAGTAGGCGGCGGCGACGGCGCTGCACTTTCTCTGACGGCGCCGCGTGTCGCAGGCGCCGGCGACTCGCACGCCCGGCTCGCCGCCGCCGGCCGCCAGTCGCCAGGCTGGGGTCGGCGGGGCCGGCAGCACCGCCTCCGCCGCCGCGCGCCGGTGCCACCCGCCGCCGCCGCCAGTCGTGCCGCAGAGCCGCGAGTGCCAGCGCGGACAGTGAGCGGCTGCCGCGGATGAGTGACGCGCTCGGTGCTGTCCTGGCCGTGCCCGCCTGACGGCGCTGGTGTCGAACGTGTCGCGGTCAGAAGGCGACGGTGCGGGGCCGTGCGGCGCGGAGCAGTGCACGGGGCCCGGCGGCGTGCGAGCACCTCCCTGTCGGGGCGCGCCGAGTGACAATCAGCGTCGCGCCGTCTGCCGGCGGGGAGCGCCGCGCCCAGCCACGATCACATATCGATCGCGACGGGGACCAACACCCGGGGCCGAGCCTGATACAGCCGGGGCGGACACAGCCGGCGTCGGGCGGCAGCGCCGCCGCTCCGGCCAGAGCGGTGCCGGCCGCGCCAGCCGGCGCAACCGCAGGATGCGCATTCGGTTCGTCTCCCCGCCGACGCCCGAGCCGGGCAGCAAGCGGTCGCACCCGCTGCGGCGCCGGCCAGGTACGTCCGCCCCCGCCCGTGCGCCGAGGGCGCCCAGCTGCCGGAGCTGGGAGCCGGCCGTCGTCCGGTTGCGGTCGCGCCGCGTCCCCTGTCGTGCGTCATGTCCCGGCTCGGGGATCAGCAGCCGGCCGGCCGCCGCTGCAGGTGTGGCGTGCAAGTGTCGGCCGGGCCGCGGCCCCGGCCTCGGGTTTGCAGAAGTGGTTTCGCTGCGAAATTTTGGTAATGCTGATGGACAGCTACGCGTGGCAACACCGGTGGAGAAGCCAGGATTTCGACCAGAAATGGGTCAGATCGGGGCATAGGGTCATCGCCATCGCATTGCTATTGAAATGAGTCCTCTTCGTCGCAAAAGGGGACCGTTTTTATATTTGGAAAGCATCTTATTTATATGTCTGGAACCCGTTTTTCAGGATCCCCTTGGAACCTGTGTTGTGATGTTTTAGAAGCCCAACAAAGGTTTTAGACTGCCAAATAGTAGTGGGACCATCGGCTCCAGGGAACTTACGCCGCTCCCGAAATCGGAGGCATGGTTCCAAAAGCTTCCCTTGGATGCACCACCGGCTGCCGCCATAACCTGCGCCAACTGTGCATGTCCAGTCGCATTCTCGTAGCAGTTTACAATACATGCAAGCTGGTGCGTTTTCCTGCCCGCAACTCCCATCAGGAATGTCCCACGGTTCGCAACGCGGTTTACCTGGTTATATGGTCCAGTCCGACCACCGCCAGCTAGTGCAGTCCGTGACCGCAGACGTCGCGCACGGCAGCGTCTCGGTCGCCGGCGTCTGGTATGCCACAGACGGGGCTGGTCCGCGTTGGGGTGGTCCCGCGCGGGGACCGGGCGACCCTCCGATTCCTCCGGTAATCCAGTTCTGCTCCTATTGTCCACCAATCTGACGGGATCGATGTCAGCCGCGTCGGACCCGTCTAGGGGCCGCGCTGTTCCGCCCGCGCGCGCCCACGGGCCGGCGGGCCCGTACCCGTCTGGGGGAGTGGGGGGGGGGGGGGCGCACCTCGTGCTGAATATGGGTGGTGCTGCCCCGCGGGCGACTGGCTGTGCTGCGCAGAAGACGGGCTGTTTTCGCCGGCGGATGGGACTCTGCCTGGCGCCCGGTCTTGCTGGTCTGGGTGGACAGGCGGCCCTGCCCGGCAGATGTGTGCTCCGGCGCCCAGCAGCGATCGAGAGCACCGATCTGTCGACACGGCGGGGCTCCGCTCCGGCCCTCAACTCTTACTGTTCGGAGCGTTGTGGAAGCCACTTGAATGATAACGATCGCGCAACAGCAGTCTGGTGAACGGAGGAATGCCTCCGTTTTGCAGTATGTCGCCTTGTTTGGAGACGCGTTTTTATTCGGTTGGGGGTCACGTAACAAATGTTAATCTAAACGGGCTTTTTGTGGTGTTTGGCGTTGTGTCACCGTGTGCCGTGTAGTCGCCAAAGCGTTTCGCCGGTATGTTCGTGCCCAGACACTTCCAGCGGCGTTAAGCGAAAGTGTCGTAACGATCAACATCACCAAACACCAAACACCCTGATAGCACAGTCACGAAGACATATCTGCAACGCCGGTAACGCCCTGTAACGTTCACCCGAAGCAGTGGAAAACTGAACGGAAAGCAGGCGCAGGCATATCACTCGGTCACTAGCTATATATATATATATATATATATATATATATATATATATATATATATATATATATATATATATATCCATCGCATCAGATCGCTGACCGTGACCTAGCCCGCGCATTCCGCAAATCCCTCGCCCTCCCTCTCCCCTACGGCGCGGACCTCCCGCAGGGAGCGCTCGGCGGGCGGGCCTGATTTGATTACGACCTCGGCCGGCAAGCGCCGACCATGCGCGGTTGGTGTAATTGCAGTCATTACACGCTGCTGACCCGCCTGACCCGCGCCTGATGTCTCCTCCCCCCGCGCGCCGCTCACCAAACATTGGCCGGGCCGAGACCGCGGTCGGCGCTCTCGGCTGTCGCAACAAAAGCGCTCGCTCTCTCCGCGCTGGACATGCCGGCCGTCTGTCGGCGCGGCCATCCGTCACAATCCGTCGTCGCCACGCTAAACATGCATGGCCTATCGACTCATCGGCGACGTTTGACCCAAAAGCGCGCGTTTTATCGCCGCCGATCGGCCGATCATGTATCGAGCGGCCGATTGGCGCGCGGAGCTGGCGCGGCTCCAGCCCCCCCTCCCCACCCGACGCGAGAGCGCTGAGCTTGCAGTGGAGCCTGGCGCGGGTCACGAGATGTGTGGTCTGGTCCTGGTCCTGCGCGCCGGCGGGCGGCAGGACCAGTTTTCCGTCAGGTCCGTGTCCGGTCCGTGTCCGGTCCGTGTCCGGGTTCGGCAGCGGCGGCGGCCTCGCGCTCAGACGCGGTGCGCCAGATGACAGCTCGGTCGGGCGGCGGCAGTCGCCGGCTCCCGTCTGCGGCGGCGGCGGCGGCGGCGCCGGCGAGCCGCCCGTAACCGACACCGCCGAGCCGTCGCGCCGTCAGTGTCGACGGCGCCGCCGCCGGTGCACCGCCAATTGTGGCGTCCGATATGCGGCCAGGACCTGGGCCCGTCGCCGCCTCTTCCGCCGCTAGTCGCCGCCTCCTCCGCCGCTCACGCCGTCCGTCTGTTTCAGACTCGTCGTACGAGAAGGCGGTGGGCCTGGCCGGACGCGGCTCGGCTCCGGGGACGCCCGTGCTGGGGCAGCGCGCCGGCCCCGAGTCCGGCTCCTCGCGCTTCACGGTAAGTGGCGGCTGTCCTGCGCGGGGGATCACGGCGGGCCATGGTGGTCTGAGGCCTCGTAATAAGCACCAGAAGTCACGGCCACCTGTGATACGTGAGATAGCGTCGGGCAGGGGGGGGGGGGGCACGATAAACCGACGCGAAGCCTGGACCATGATAGTTGTCACCAGCACTGGGAAAAAGCAACGGAAGTGACGACATCTAACTTCTCACAGGGCTCAGCTGGAAGTCACCGCCCTGATCAGACTGTGGTGAAACGCGGGTGTCGGAGCTGAGAGCTACCGTCTCAGGCGGAGGCATCACAGTTGGCGTGTGATGACGTCGGGCGCTGGTCACGGCAGCGAGGTCTTAGTGACTCAAGCAGGTCCGGGTCGCCTGCGTCGCGAGCTTCACGGGCTAATCCGTTTCCCGAGGTTCACGGAAAGTCGCACGTCAACGCACCGTCGTGCCGCGTCGCCTGATTCATGCCCCGGTCAGCGGAGTGGTTCAGCGCGCCGCGCCTGGGCGTCCCGACGGCCGCACAGCCGCGCGCAGCCGTGGCTACGGCCGACCCTCGATCGAGGGTGGGGTGCCGGCGCCGGCACGGTCACCGTACCAGATTCAGTCCAATTAAACCGGTCCGGCCCGCCGCGCCGCCTCTGCCGCGTCATCGCCGCATTGATTGACGCAGTTAAGAGCCGTGACATTTCCTCATGGAACCGGGTCCCGAGCGGCTCGGCGTGGAGGACTCGAGCCGAGCGCTTTTGAGGTGGCGCGCTGGCGATGACCGGCCCGTTATCGACGCTCCAGTCTGAAGTCACTGTCTGCCGACGGCTGCAGTGACTCATCATACCGGACTCGGCAATTGGCTGATCGATATCGCCTGTTGACACCGGCCCGCTTGCCGGCCCATTCTAGCGAGCTGCCGCACGCCGGCGCCCCCTCCCCGCGGCCGCGCGCTCCGACCCGGCGGACCGGCTGGAGCCCTGTGGGGGCGACGCGGCCTCTGCACTGCCTGAATGGGAGGAAGGGGCTGGGTACGGAGGAGGAAAGGGCCTGAACGCGAGGGGGAATGGGGCCTGGGTACGGGGAAGGAATGGATGAAGGGGGCCTGGTTGCGAGGAGAGGAAGGCGCCTGTGTGTGGGGAGGAAGGGGCTTTGGGACGGAGGAGAGGTCTGGGTGGGGAGAGTGAGGGCCTGGGTGCGGAGAGGAGGGCACCTGGTTGCGGGGAGGAAGGGCCTGAGTGCGGGGAGGAAGGCGCCTGGGTGCGGTGCAGCGTCAGCGCAAGTCGCGACGTGCCGTGGAATGCGCTGTGGGCGGTGCCGGCAGCACCGGCGGATTGAGGTCGTTATTATGGTAATTGGACGCCGACCGGCTTGTAGTCTCTTCGAGTCGGACATCTCATTCAGTTGCACGGTTATTCGCGCGCATTACGGACTTAACGCGGCGCTAAGACCTGGCTTCATGTGCGTGAGAGTGGACGTTCAGAGTTCATTAACTCGAACCCGGGTGACGGCTCATACGGGCAAACAAGACGATAAGTCGCGGTGCAAAATGGATATTTGTGACGACTGAAATGTACTTTGTGCAATGGAGAGGATCATGACGAGAGCATGGGCTTATGTTTGCTCTCGGATTATATAAGATTTGCGTGACACGGTTGCCAGATGCCGGGCAGTTGCAGCGCCCATTGCCGGTAACTGTCATGTAATCTAGGATTGCTCTGGATGACTAGGGGGTCTCGAATTGGTAAAATATGTCCATAGTCGTCGAAATTCCGTGTTAAGAACGCCCTTCAATGTTTCTCATTATCGCTCTTCAATGTCAGGACTCATCGTAGTTATGTCAGGACTCATTGTTACTCAGCACAGGATGTTTGTGCTCACTTTCCTCACCATCACGGATGAAGGCTTTGAAATCTTCCCGCCACTCACCGCCGTCGTTCCGTCTCACGGCTGGCCTCGTCCTCAACAAACGCCTCCCGACACACAAGCGGTGTCCGTGATAGCCGCTGAGGCGCGCAAGTGGACCAGTGCAGGGCAGCTGACGTGGCCGGGCGCCCACCTGTCCGCCGCAGGTGTCGGGCGACAGGACAGACGGGCCATCTCGCGCCCACCTGGCCCGCCCGTCAGTCGGCCCGGCGACGCGGCCGCTCGGTGCGGCGGCGCCGCCGACGGCAGCTCCTTGGTGGTCAGCGGCATGGCCGTTTTTTGCCGCCGCCGCCGCTGCCGCTGACCCGTTTCGGCGGCCTATCGGCTCCGGTTGGGGCGTCGCCTCCTGATGCGCTCGTGTCACCGGGCGCTGAGGCTGGCCGCGCTCATACTAGGTCAGCGGCGTGGCGGCCGATGTGCGGAGCCGCTGGCTTCTGGCCGACAGACGTCAGATGGCTCCCCCTGCCCGGTACGGAGTCCGCCGGCCGGCCTGAGCGCGGCTTCAGGCCCAGCGTGGAGGGGCTCCATTTGTTTGGGCTGACTGGCACCTTGGTCGCATTGACTGGTGTTTAGATGGCAGTTGCCAGACTTTCGGTGTAAGTGACAGTTGTCTAACATTTGCTGTCAGTTTAGCCATATTGCCAAAATAATTATTCCGGCCTGCCGTGAGACGGATCATGGGACAAAAAATTGTTCTGGTCCATCGCCGTGAACATTTCCATAGTCATTTGGCGCCGGCCCAATTATTGGTTCACCGGAACAGAAGCGCCCGATACCTCTCTCTGGCAGAGAGACGGGTGCGGGCCGCTGGGTCGGCGGGGGTCCCGGGGCTGATGCGTGGCGACCTCGCCGTCGGCAACGCCATCAACAGCCGCCCGCCGCCGTCAGCACGGCAGCGTTTTGTGTTCCGTTCGGATCATCACGGTGGATGTGTGGTACAAATGACGAGCGTCCGTATTGTAATGAGCCTCTTCCGCCGGCTGATCGGCGGCGTTCAGGGCCACCCGCTGGCCTCCAACGGAATGGTGTCCAGGACTGGGGAGGACTAGGACCACCTGCATTCAGTTAGTCGACATAGTTATCAGACAGCAGATGTTCGACATCATTAAACCATGGTTATCTGGTTGCTTTCGAGAGGTCACTTTTTACAGTGGGTAGTTTTTTTGTGCTGCTGTTGGCGTGAAAAACACATACTACGGTGATTTAGAAGACCTTGCTCACGTCAGTCGACAGATACTGGTTGGTATGCTGAATTTGAGCTTGTACGCAGCTATAGTTCCTGCATGGATTTCCATGCATTGCAGTCCTCGTGTTTGTGTGAGGGCATATGAGCCGTTTGAGCATCGCTCGTCCTGCGCTGGTCACGCCGCAGCCTGCAGCGGTGCTCCACGCCACCAGCACCACCAGCATCCCCTCACGGGAAGGGGACCGGGACCGCGCGCAGCGGCGCTGCCGGTGCTGGCTGGTTCGGCGGGCCGCCACGTGACGGTGCCGCTGTGACGGCGGGTGGCACGTCGCCGGAGGCCGGCTGGCGGCGGTCGCGTGGTCTCCGCCGCCGGACGCGCCGCCCGAGTGCCCTTCCGTGCCGGCAGCACCGGACGGCACCGCTTGGCGGCGGCTCGTCTCCAGCAATTATCGGCCCCTCGACCAGTGATCGGGTCTCGGCTTTCTCGGCGACGCATCCGCCGGTCGATGGTGCCGGTCGGCGCAGCTTTCTCCGGCGCCCGCCCTGCGCCGGCCGGCGCCGCCGAGTTTGACAGTCGCGTGCCCCGGCGGCCGCGCCCCCGCCGCCGGTGCGCGCGGCGCGTGGCAGCTGACGGCGGGCGGGCGGCGGCGCGCCGGACAGGTGGGAGGCGGCCCGCCCCCGGCCGCCCCGCCCGGGGAGGTGCGCGTGCCGGCACGGAAGGGGCCCGCTTAGAGCGCAGCGGGAGGCCCATCAAAACACACAGTCCGATACAAAGCCGTCTCATTTCACGCGGCCCAGCGCGCCCGTTCATCTAAATTGGCCGCGGCTCCCCCGTGCCGTGCCCCCTGGTCGCCGTGGAATCATGGGGTGGCGGACCCTCGCGGCGGCCGTCAGGGGGCGCCAGCTGGCCGGCGGAGGCCCGCACCGGCCGGCACCTGCCGGGGCTTCGGCCGCGAATAACGAGCGTGCCCCGATAAACAGACGGGCACGTGCCGCCGACGCATCTGCGCGGTGATTAGTGGGCCTGTGGCAGCCTCAGGCATCCTTTGTGCCGGCGAGACTATGCCGAGACATCGGGCGTCTGTTCTCTCCTGCCTGTGCCTCGGCGGCGTAAACTGTGGCCGCTGCGTCGTCAGCCTGCTCTGGTCGGCGGCCAGTCTTCAGTTTGCAGCCGAGTTGCAGCGAACCAGCGGCTCTGAACTGCTCTGTGGCTTATCGGGCTGGGAGGCTCAGAACCAGTGAATGTATGCCAACCTGTTTGGAACTTGTTTGCAACTTGTGGCAAATAACCTCTCTGAATTATTTGTCGGCGGTCGTTCTGTCCCGCTGGGACTGGCGGTCTGAACCGCTCGGCGCTGAGACGGGAGGTTTGAACCGCTCGGCGCTGAGCCTGGTGGTTTGAACCGCTCGGTGCTGAGACTGGCGGTCTGAACCGCTCGACGCTGAGACTGGCGGTCTGAACCGCTCGGCGCTGAGACTGGAGGTCTGAACCGCTGGGCGCTGCTCGCGTCACCTGCGGCCCCGCGATGTCCGTGACAGGCGAGCGAGTGGCAGGCTCGTCCCAGGAACGCGCGCTCCGTTTGCCGGCTGCGTCGCGGCGCGGCGCGTCGCAGTGCTGCCGAGATGTTCGGCCGGTGGACGCTGCAGTTCTGCCGAACAGGAGCGAATTCAGTGATGCCGCGGCCGGGCGGCACCACTGAATTCACCGGCCTGCTCCAGCTGACCCGCGTCCCGCCCGCACCCTCGACCTGCAATGGCCCTCCGTCAGCGGGGCGCGCCGCGGGCTCAGTCTGCCGCTCCGGCCGCGCGGGGGATTGCCAACTGGGCGGCGTTCCCCTATTGGCCGAGTCACCACCGAAGCTGCTACCTATGATATAAAGTATTTGAGTCACACGCGCGACCCTTGCCGCTTCGGTCTTCGGCACTGTGATGACGCACTTACCTGTGACGTCATCGTTTGCAACTCGTGGCATTTCGAAATGGGAAGCGCCGCCCCGGTAGCTGGTCACTCCGAGGGATGGTCCTATTCTCCCAGTTGGTCCAGAGCCGCCGTGCCCTACCAGTGATAATTGCCACGAACAATTTAGCCTGAGTTTGCTGCCGTGACGGTCAACAGAATCTGGTGCGGCTGAGCTTACTCGCCGCGCATGGACGACGGTGTTATATTTCTGACAACGATAACCGTGTTTAGTGTTTTCCGAAAGTCCCGCTTGCGGTGAAGATATAGGCAGACACGTAAATGTCCTAAAAACATACTAATCTCGCATGTTCAGTCTCTGCCCGAGCCAACTGGTCTCATGCACCGAGCACATCTTGCCTCAGAATAAGAATGCACGGAGTAGGCTGCGCGGCAAGGACCTTAGATAGTCACACGGTGAACCCCTACGCTGATGCATCCAACCCGCCTCCCCCCCCCCTTCCTCGGAGGCGACTGGGTGACGGATGCCCGGCTCAGTGACTCACCCCAGGGCTGCTCGCCGCGCACGCACGCGCGCGCGCTCGCTCCATCGGTAACGACTCAGGGGTGCGTCGTCGTCGGGTCGGGGCTCGGTCGGTCGGCGGAGACGGGGGACGGTAATTGGCCGCGGGCCGCACCGCGACGGAGGGGCCTGGAAGACGAGGGCGGAGAGCTGGGGCTGAGCGCGCGGGGAGATGGATGCCAGCGGGGAGCCCTGTACAGTCGCAGTGAATGTCGCTGGCTGTTGTGCCCGCCCCGACATGTGCCGGTCACCATATCGGCGTTCACAGAGTGCGGGTCACCGTCGGACTATCAATCTCCTTGTCGGCGAAGAGCCTCGCCGGCGTCATGAAAACAATGCCAGGAAGTCGCGGCAGCCTAACGAGGTGCCACAAAGCTCGCCGGTTAAGCTCGCGTGACAGATAGATCAGTGACGTCAAGCGGCTTATGTCACCAGCGGTAAGCGGCAACTTCCTTCCTGCCCCATGCGGCGCCACTGAAACGGATCTCAGCGGCTTGCGGGAACGGAGCGGTGACACGACGGCGCTGACCCGACTGACCGGCGTCGCCCTGTTTCAGAACTTCTTCTCCAAGCGGTCGTTCAAGGGAAACCCGCTGAAGCGGACCAAGTCGGTGACGAAGTTGGAGCGGAAGCGGTGCCTTGTGGACGCTGACGGGTGAGTGTTGCCGCCGCCAAGCCCCCTCGCTCCCCCGCTTTGTTCGCTGGAGGAGGTGGCGTGCCTCAGCCTCGCCCACCGGCCAGGCGCTCGGGCCGCGTGTGCCCGGCCACTCCCGCCGCGCCCAGCTGTAATCGGACGGAATCGGGTGTGAGCCACTCGGTCGGCGCTGAACGCGATTTGGAAGGGTAATGTCGTCAGCCGATTTTCGCCGGACAGCTGTCCGGGGAAGCGGCCGATTAATCCAGCGATAGCGAGTTCCGCTGTCACGCCGGCCGTCGGCGCGCGCCGCTGTTGGGTAATCGGCGCATTGTGTCGCGGCGCCCAGCGTGGACAGCGGCGTGGCGCGCGGCCGTTTTAATGAGCGCCGCCGGCTGATCCGCGCCCGGCCGCCCAGCCTTCGTCGGCGGCACGTCGATTGGCCTCGTGTCATCGGTCGCTCCGGGAGGCGCGGTTACAGCGGGCGGCCGGTGATGACAGCGATTGTGCGGCCCCGGCGCAGCGGCGGGGGGCTGCGGGGTTTCGTGCCGGCTGAAAGGACGCCGGCGGGGGTCCGGTCCGGCGGGGTCGCAGGCATGTCGGAGATGTAGATGGGGCTGGTGGGCTTTGCGGTACGGTGAGGGCGTCCGTCGTTCGAGTGTCCGGGAAGCCGACAAAAAGCGGCCGGTCGGCGATGCGCCATAGCCGCGTTCAGGCGCCGGATCTGCCCGAGCGCCAGCGCTAGGTGATCGCCGCGGCCTGCTGTGCCGGCGGCCGCCGCGAGCTCAGCACCAGGCGACAGCGGTCGCCGCCGGCCGTGCGCCGACGGTGGACCCATGGGCCGGCCGACCCCGCATCCTCCCGCCGGCCACTGACGCCTCCGCTGTGTTTGTTGTCGCCGCCGCCGCCACTCAGAGGCGATGGGACGCACCGCTCCCGGCTATAAATACTCCGCGCGGGACGGGCCCGCGCCGGCCGGGCCCCGCGCAGTGTGCGCGCCGGCGGCGGCGGCGGCGGCCCGCGCTCGCGTCGGTCCAGCCATGAGCGCCGCCGCCTGTTGTGTGGGCGCCGACCGGCGCTGCTTCCCCAGCTTCGCGACGGTGCGCCGGCGGTCTCGGCGCCAGCTCCGAGTCGTCTCCAGGTGGGTGCCGGCCGCCGCGGACTGCTCCCGGGGCTGGTGCCGCCGTAGGACCTGGGGTCGTGACCTCTGGCCGGGGGCAGTGCCGGCCGCCGCGGACTGCTCCCGGGGCTGGTGCCGCCGTGGGACCTGGGGTCGGGACCGCTGGCTGGTGGCAGTGCCGGCCGCTGCGGATTGCTCCCGGGGCTGGTGCCGCCGTAGGATATGAGGTCGGGACCGCTGGCCGGTGGCAGTGCCGGCCGCTGCGGACTGCTCCCGGGGCTGGTGCCGCCGTAGGATATGAGGTCGGGACCGCTGGCCGATAGAAGTGCCGGCTTGGTGCGCCCCCGGGAAGGTATGCGTGTGTGCGGTTCAGTGTGATGTGTGATTAGCCTTCGTCGCTGATGCTACCCAAATGAGGCGAACGAGATGACACTCGAGTGTGACAGATGGAAAGGACAAAGACCACAGTTTGGGCTCATAAGTGACATGGGGGATGACAGATCTTGAGGTGAGTTATGTACTCACGAGTCTCATGTTTCTTAATGGTCGGTTTACCAGCCAGTTGGCGTGAACGACGTGTTCGCAATGCCATTATGGTTTTCTCGGTCCGCGTCGTCGCCGCTCGGGCTCCACTGTTCAGTCGATTGCGGCGACCAAGAAGTAGATATTCATGTCCATTAGGTCGATTCTCTGGCTTGTGTAAGCCGTCTCTGCGGCTGTACGCTGAGGCCGGCACTCCGAGATGCAGCCTCGTGGTGTTGCACGTGCCAATTTAAGACACATTATGACGGGGTAGTTTCTGCACCTTCAACATTTAACGACCATTGCACCGCTACGTTCACTGCACTCCGCCGCATTTGGCAACGATGTGTCGTGATGTTATTTTAATAACAATTATTGTGGCGTCCATTTTAGCCATCGTAACTGCTTCACTTGTGATTTTTCAGGCGTCGTTTGACAATTTAATGCGAATTAGGTGTTATTCAGTGTGCAACTTATTTGGGTCAGTTTTTGCTACATTCCGTCATGTTTGCAAACCCTCGCAATTTGAAACCGCCGGTACGCGATTTTAGCATACAGCGGCCCGCTGTCTGACTGGCCTATGACCTATCTGTCCATCGTTTGCACCTCTCGGGAGTCCTGACCTGATGCCCGAACACCACACCTGGCGCGAGCTCGCTCCTCCCCACCCGGCAGCCGCGGCCGCGCGCTCCGCCGCGTCACGTCACAGCCCGTGACGTTCCCGCCGCGGGGGCACGCGCTCAGTCACGGTGGTCCGTTGCCGCGACCGGGCGGCGGTCCGCCGTGGCCGCCGTGGCCGCCGCGGAGGCCGGCGCGGCGCCGGCGCCTGTCGTGCCCGGTGTCGCGCTGCGGTGTGAGGTGGTGGGAGAGGGGTCAGCCGCTGACGTCGGTGGGCTTCCCGCGCACCGCACACCGCTACATATGGGTGGGATAGGGGGGGGGGGGACTAGGGCACGGGAACGGGACCTTCGCGGCCGGGTTCTGTGTGTGGGTCAGGCTGTACTGGCGGTGTGAGTGTGCGTGTCAGGCTGCACTGGCGGCGTGAGTGTGCGTGTCAGGCTGCACTGGCGGTGTATGTGTGTGAGTCAGGCTGCACTGGCGGTGTAAGTGTGTGGAGTCAGGCTGCACTGGCGGCGTGAGTGTGCGTGTCAGGCTGCACTGGCGGTGTATGTGTGTGAGTCAGGCTGCACTGGCGGTGTAAGTGTGTGAGTCAGGCTGCACTGGCGGCGTGAGTGTGCGTGTCAAGCTGCACTGGCGGCGTGAGTGTGCGTGACACGCTGCACTGGCGGCGTGAGTGTGCGTGTCACGCTGCACTGGCGGCGTGAGTGTGCGTGTCACGCTGCACTGGCGGCGTGAGTGTGCGTGTCAGGCTGCACTGGCGGTGTAAGTGTGTGAGTCAGGCTGCACTGGCGGCGTGAGTGTGCGTGTCAGGCTGCACTGGCGGCGTGAGTGTGCGTGTCAGGCTGCACTGGCGGCGTGAGCGTGCGTGTCACGCTGCACTGGCGGCGTGAGCGTGCGTGTCACGCTGCACTGGCGGCGTGAATCCTGAGCTAAGCCCGATACCTGTAGGCAGCTGCTGAAAGTGGGTGGGCCTACGGGAAAAGCTTCTGATTTTTGTTTTCCTTCAACGAATATAGCATTGTAATCCTTTTGAAGCGGCTTTTAAAGCCCCGAAAATCCTCAGCACCATTACCACGTAGTCGCCTCCCGTAGTACCTCTACGCTTAAATCAAAATTTTGCGAAGTGATTATGTCCTGAAGAGAAAACCTAAGTTAGAAAAATATAGCAAGCCCATCAGGAAATTATGCCGCGACTTTCTGTGTGTTAAGCTCTGAAATGTCAGTGTGCTTTCCCTTTTGTCAGCGTGCCTTGTTAGTTGATAAGGCCACACAGTAGGATGTTTTTCATCTGTGGGGGCGGCCTCCTTCAACATTGACCGCCCGGCTGAGTTGTGCCCGCCGTCGGCCCGACGGTCCGGCCGGCCGGACTCGGGCCGCGCTGTGGCGCCGACGGCCGCCGGCGCGCCGGCCGGCCCGCTGGCCGTGTCGCGGCCCATTGGGTAACGATCAGGTGCGCCGGCGGGACGCCGCCGTCCGGCCCGGCCCCCGCCGCGACGCCGGCTTTCAAACGTTTTGGTAATTAATGAAGCGGCGCACAGAGCGATTGCCTCAGCGAGCCGGCAGATGGGCGATGGTGGCACGCGGCCGCCTGTCGTCGCCCTTTGTGGGCTGAAACGGATCGCGCCGGATTCCGCCGGTCGGCCCGTGTCCGTCTGGATCGCCGGTGATGAGGGAGCGCTCCGGCTGCGACCGTGCCGAGGGGAGCGTGGCATATGAGGGAACGCCCCCAGTGTCGGGGGAGGCTGATGAGCACGGGGCCGCGGGCTTCACCGATCCAGTGGAATGGGGCGATGCGAGGGAACGCCCCCGTGTCCAGCCGAGGGAGGCTGATGAGGAGGGGCGCGTCGGAGTGTGCGGCGCGCCGCCGCCGGCGGCGGCGGCAGCCGTCGTCAGGTCGGCTCCGCCTCATACGTCACCAGGCGACGAGCGGAAATGAAGGGCGGCCCCGCCGCTCGGCGCCGGGCCCGCTGCCGCCGACGTGACCCGGCGCCGCAGGGCGTGGCACTTTCCATCCGACGTGCGCTCGGCGGGTGGGCGCGTCCGACACGGCGCCGCCCGGCGGGAGAGCGCGGACGCGGTGGATCGCCCCGCGGCACGTGGCTCCCGCGGGGTCGCGGGGTGCCGGCTGCGGGGGACGCGGCCCGCGGCGGTTGCGACAGTCTGATGTGGGAGTCCGCGCGGCGCCGCCCGTCGGCTCTCGCCGCGCCCTTCTCGGCGGTTTGGTCGGTCGCTGACGCGGCGGCGTATTTATCCAGCGGCGGGCCGGGCCTTGCTGACAGTTCGCCCGGTCTGGTTTATCGCGCGCCGGGCCGCGGCGCGGACCACCGGCTGCTGTTTGGCGCGCCGGCGTCGACAGAGGAGCCGGGGTCACGTGACATCCGCTAGGTCAGAAGCTGCGCCATACGACGTTCACCGGGACGGGAAGTCACCTACCAACGAGGTCAACTCTGGAGGTCACTGGGAGGTCACTCACCACTTATCAACCCTGCTGGGAACAATGAGTCGCATTCCGACTCTAGGACGATCGCAGCTGCGTTCTTTTCTCTTCTGCATCCTGGCCGGTCCCGTGGCCTCGGATCGTGGTCTGCACAGATGGTTTGGGGTCAGCCAGGGGAGCTCGGTAGCTTTCACGGAACGATGTGGAGCGGTTCACGGTCGAGAGCTGCCGTTGGCTCCAAGATGGACTACAGCATTCAACTCGAAGTCTCAGAGACGGCTGCGTTTTGGACTGTGTGTGAATGCGCCGCGAAGTAGGCGAATGTGTTCGGAATGCGCAGTTCCAGACCGCTGAAGCTGGCCGAATACCATGTGGCGTGTATGCCACGGATATTGGCCTGCTTTTACGAGCCTTGCGGCCATGTCCACCGAAACCGGTCGTTCGAGTCGTTAAAATTAGTGGCTCAGACAACTTTGATCGGCGGTTTTTTATGACGACGATGGCATTTGCCATTCATTGTGGTCGGCTGTTTTGGAATGGCGCCGCTCTGCGGTTGGCGCCCTTTGTCCGCGCTCGCTCAGCGGGTAAGTGGCCGCGGCATTTTTTGGCGGCGGCGGAGGCACGTCCGTCACGCGCCGGGTCCGACAGGCCGTCTCCGGTGGCGTCCTCGGCCCGTACCCCCGGTTGAGCTGTCTCCGACCCGTGTCGGGTTCGCCGCCCCGACTCAGCCCCGGAGCCCTAGACCGGCCGCCGCACCCCGAGCCGGCCAGCCGCTGTGATGGTGACGGTGACTGGTGACCCACGGAGAGTTTTCCGTTGAGCCGTGCTCCGCCCACCGCCGCAGCCTCGCGCCGATGAGTGGCAGGTGTGCGGGGGCCAAACCGTCGAGCGGGGACGGCGCTTTTCACAGGCCGGCCTGGGCGCTGTGGTCCGCCAGAACGCTCAAAGGGATCGTCTTACAGCGGCGCTGCGGCGTGGGAGACAGCTGACGCCGTTTCTCGGAGCGCGCGGCGCGGCGTCGTGTCGTCTGCTCGGGGGTCAGCTGGGTTTTCCGGGGCCAGTGTGGCGAAATAACGTCGTCGACGGCGCTGGATCAGGTTACCGCAAATTATTCAGGAAGTATGGTGGCATTGGTACTCCGCGGACTTTCTAATTGCCTGGTTACGGCCGTTACTGTGGCGGCACGTGATGAACGCCGTCTGGGCTCTCCGCTCTTGACTGTCGTAATTGAAGGATTAGCCGGTCCGGAGTGAGTGGGCGGAAAAGTCGCGCTACTTGATGACAAGGCACTACCCGAAGCCTGATGTTGCCCAGATGGTCTGGAGGAGCTCATCACTTCCCAGTCATGCGACGAAACCTCATGCTTAATGACTCTTGTGCTGCTACCGGCCTTGCCGACGGCGACAGGGCGTCGTTCCGTTGAGTGCTTCCGTCGTCCCTAGGCGGCTCGCGACCTCCCAGTGACCGTATAGCTCCGCGCGTGATGTGTACAGTGGCCGTGAGTGTGTGCTGAGCGAGCGAGCGCGTGTCTCTCCGGGTGCCCGTGTCTTTGTGTATGTTTTCGTGATGGGCGCTTATTGACATCGGCCGGCGGCGTTCGGTTTGCGCGCGCGCGCGCGTGTACCTGTGTGTGTCGGGGGAGAGTGAGCGCTCGGTGAGAGTACGTGCTCAGCACACTCGATCGGCAGTCTGTGACAGCCGTCGTCCTCCCCGCCGTCCCGCAGCTCCCCCTTTCTCTCTCTTCGAGTTGTTGTGGTGACGGCCTGTCGCCAGCGCTGACCTTCTCTGTCCTCTGTCCCGTGTTTTGAAGCCGTTCGTCAGAGCGCCGCGTGGTCTCAGCTCTCTGACAGGGGTCTTGATGCAGCGGCGTGTCGTCTGCGTCCGTGTGCGGCATTGGGCAGCCCCGCTCTCCTGACGCCCCTGTGTCTCTGTCTGACAGTGGGCCGCTCCGCTCCCCTGACGCCCCTATGTCTGTCCGGCAATGGGCCGCTCCGCTCCCCTGACGCCCCTGTGTCCGTGTCCGACAGTGTGCAGCCCCGCTCCCCTGACGCCCCTGTGTCTCTGTCCGACAGTGGGCCGCCCCACTCCCCTGACGTCCCTGTGTCTGTCCGACAGTGGGCCGCCCCACTCCTCTGACGCCCCTGTGTCTCTGGCCGACAGTGGGCCGCCCCACTCCTCTGACACCCCTTGTGCCCGCGTCCGACAGGCCTGCGCCGTCCCGGCTGCGCTCGTCGCGCTCGCACGAGTCGCTCCTCTCGGGCCACAGCATGGTGTCGTCCACGGAGCTGGGTGCCGGCGACGTCACCATCAAGCCGCTGCACAGCTCGATCCTGGGCCAGGAGCACTGCATCCAGATCAGCTCGCCGAGTGGCACCCGTTTCTACAGCTGTCGCAGCGCCGAGGAGCGCGACCGCTGGATCCACAGGTGAGGCTCGGCTACCGGGCTGGAGCCGCGGCTGCGGATGCGACGCAGGGCCGCGGCCGCAGAATGGATAAGCTGTGTTGGGTCGGAGGATGTACGGATGTAGCTAAGTGGGACAGACTTATCCCGCCCGTGTTCGCGCCGAACTGCCAGCGGAACGGCTTTTTGTTCCGGCCAATCACGCTCGAAGCGCATTCTCCGGCCAATCCCAGGCGGGTCGAGCCATTGGTTGCAGTGATGGCAGGATGACGTCGCTGCCGGGGCATACACAGGCTGCAAGAGAGCGGAGGTGTGAGCTTTGGCCTTGCGTGGATGAGGCCCCGTTGACGGACGCTCGGAGGCCCCATTGACGGACGCTCGGAGGCCCTATTGACGGACGCTCGGAGGCCCCGTTGACGGACGCTCGGAGGCCCTATTGACGGACGCTCGGAGGCCCCGTTGACGGACGCTCGGAGGCCCCATTGACGGACGCTCGGAGCCAGGGACTGCGTGGGCTGCCGAGCAGCAGGAGCGGATCGGGACGCGCCCCGCCGGCGCCGACCCGCGCCGTTACAACGGGCCGGGCCGGGGCCGGCTGGGTCAGGGACGGTGCCTGTGGCCCGATGCCTATCGAGCGAGCCACGGCCCTGCTCGCGTATGCGTCAGCTGCGGCGGGAGGGCTGTCAGGGCGCGGCGGGGTGCAGGGGCCGTACTTCGCCCACCCTCCGGACCCGACGCCGTGGAGCGCCGCCGCTGTTCACGGCCATCGCCGATGACCTGATGGGGCTTTGCATGGAGCTTGGGGTATGCTAAACATGATATTGCTCGTTGGCTGCAGTACCAGTAGCTTCATTGAATATTTAATTCCTGTGGATGGTTTTAAGCGTGCCTTTGCCCTCAAGGTCGGCGCAAATCCGTCATACCTTACAGAACGGTATGAAAAAGCCGAAAAACCGAAAGACGCTATGCTTGAACGGGCCATCCGGCATTGTCAGATGTTAGGAGAATGGCGTGCCGGAAGAAATTGTATGATGCGCAACACGAGTACATCTTGACACAGCGCTTGAGTTCGAAATTTATCGTCGGTGGAAGAAACTACAATCTGGAGAAGACATTGATCTTAGTTTATGTTTACGGCACCACTCCGTGCGCGACTTAGAACTCAACTGCTTCTGAAGCCTTCAGCACTCTCCGTTACGATAACACTTCACCGACAGTTAGTCTCAGAAGAAATTATATGATGACACTTCACCAAGAGCTCCTCGGTTCCGTTCAACTTGGGCGCGCGCGCTACGATAACACTTCACCAACAGTTAGTCTCCTCACGTGCTCCCACTGGTGAGATTCCTCCGAACGATAACACTGCATTCCTTCCTGATACGTCTTCGCAGTAATCGCAGATCGCTCCGGCACGGCGCTCCCAATTTAAACCGAACCGAGAAGTTCATTTTTCCCGTCACCTGGACAGTATCGAACACCATCGGACACCGCCGATGACATCGGTCGGCCGGGTGACGTCATCTGACGCCGTCCGCTCAGCTGATGGTCGCAGCTGACGTCTCATCTGCTTGTCCCGCCGCGGCGCCCTGTACTCTGAGCGGTGCGGACGCGCGCGCGGTGCGGGCCGCGGATCGGCCTGTGACGCTCCGCCGCTCCGGCGGCCCGCGCTGCCCACGTAAGCGCCAGACGGCCGGCGAGGAGGCCGCCTGCACGGCGAGGACGCTGGGCCACGCCCGGCTGGCGGCCACTGCGCGGCATCGCTTCCCGGAGCGGCTGCCCTTCAGGTGGCCGGAGGGGAGGGGCGCGAGCCGCCGCCTGAGCCGCCTGAGCCGCCTGAGCTGGGCGGGCCAGGCTGGCGCCTAGGACTGCCGACCGGGGTGGGGCAGGCACAGAGCGCGGCCATCAGGGGGCAAGTGAATTGTAGTGGTCTGGTCAGACCGCTTAATTGGAACGGGGGGGGGGGGGGAGTTGAGTTGTGTCTAACGATAGGCGACGCGGTTACGGCAAACCAGGAGCGAAATTTGCTCTCGATCGGAGACGATTTGGCTAGCTGGTAACTGAATGTGGTCGCTCAGCGGTACGGGCAAGCTGTGGAAACTGACCCTGTCGCCAACCACCACACTGAGCTGGTGCGGTCAGCTGGTGCGGCTACCTCAATCCCGGACCAGGCTCTCATATCTCGGGGGTCCAGGGGCCAGACCGCCGGTCAGCTGGTGCGGCTACCTCAGTCCCGGACCGGGCTCTCATATCTCGGGGGTCCAGAAGCCAGACCGCATTGAGTTGGGCGGCTACCTTAATCCCGGACCAGGCTCTCATATCTCGGGGGTCCAGGGGCCAGACCGCCGGTCAGCTGGTGCGGCTACCCCAGTCCCGGACCGGGCTCTCATATCTCGGGGGTCCAGAAGCCAGACCGCATTGAGTTGGTGCGGCTACCTTAATCCCGGACCAGGCTCTCATATCTCGGGGGTCCAGGAGTCAGACCGTCGGTCAGCTGGTGCGGCTACCTCAGTCCCGGACCAGGCTCTCATATCTCGGGGGTCTAGGAGCCAGACCGCCGGTCAGCTGGCGCCCGCGAGGACGCGGGGCAGCGCCGTGAATCACGCCCCACTTCGAGCCCGAGCTCCTGACGTGCGTGCGCCGTTCAGCTCGGTGCAGCGCCGCTTGCCAAGGTTCTGACGCTTCCGCGAGGGCGGGAGGGGCTGACGAGGGCTTTGCCGCGCTCTGACCGCGCTAATGCTAACCTGTCGAGGCCTTGACACCCTCCGTCTGAGCGAGACGGTGAGCAGATTTGGCTAGTGCTAAGCTGACGCTAAATCAAACAGCCCATGCCACACCTTCACGGCTTAGGCGTGCTGTGCTGTTGCCTACTGTGTATTTTTGAAGACTTTCTGCATCTTGATCCTGGGATGCATATTTGCGTCATCGTGCCATTTAAGAGTTGACATCGCAGTTCGTAGGCGCTTAGTCAGTACGTTTGATGAGTGGTATCGGCAGAAGGGCCGCAATATTGTGATGAGTGTTTCAGCGCACGTCGCAGACATTGATAAACAGCCCTAATTTCGGCTAGTTACTTACGATGCATCACAACACAGGCCATGTATCTGCTCGCGCTACTGCGGCAGCTGTAGCCCACACACGTCTGTGATGTGTTGCGGTGCCTTCCTGAGCGGCCACTCCCACCCGTATCCTGACCCATAGAGGGATGAGTCACTTCAGCCTGACAGTGCTGAATCGTCCGTCACAGCCTGTGTCACTGCATCGTGTCAGCTTCCTGACAGATGACACAGCTCGCCACCGCCCGCCATCCCTGCCGCGATCTTGGCGCCCTCAGACCCCGCGCCGCCCCCCGCCGACCTCTGTTTGTCTCTGACGGGATGACGCGCCGACGGGTCTATGCCGGCGCACGAGGACCACCGTCAGCGCTCGAGCACGCGAACAAGCGCCGGCCATGGCGCAGTCTGGATTTTTGTGGCCCATGCTGAGACTTACGGACGTGGCCTGGCCTGCTCAGCGGGCTGCGGGGAAGGTGGAATTCAGTCGGTATTCGTTCGTTGCGGCTTAAGATCCAATTACAGTTTTACGGGCTGAACGCGCAGCAGCAACTCATTCTGTCTGATCAGAATATGACATGCCTGCCAACATGTTATGAAGCATGAGTGAGCATTCGTTCCTACCAGCCCGTCCTCTGGATTTGAACCGATACATCAGCTGTTCGTGTCACGGGTGGCTGTTTTGATTTCCACTTAGAAAGCGAATTAATTCAGATACGCTAAATACCTCCGAGCAGTACCTCATATGTGTTCTTTCATTCCGATACTGCATCCCAGCAGAGCTATTTCCATCTTCACTCTTGCCCAGCCCAGACAGTGCTATCTCACTCAGGCGTGTCGCTCTCCGCCGCTCGTCTCTTCCCACGCACACCCCTTACCCCGGGCACTGACCATCCTGCCCTCCTCTGTCGACAGTTTGCGACGCACTGTGCAGCCGAACCGGGAGCAGATGCGACGCATCGACAACTCGCTCAAGATCTGGCTGCTCGAGGCCAAGACGGTGACGGCCAAGAAACGGTACTTCTGCGAGCTGTGCCTGGACAATACGCTGTACGCGCGCACCTCCAGCAAGGCCAAGACCGAGCTCTGCTTCTGGGGCGAGCAGTTCGAGTTCAACAGCCTACCCACCGTCGAGAGCATCCAAGTGAACCTCTACCGCGAGCCCGACAAGAAGAGGAAAAAGGACAAGAACGTGCTCGTTGGTGAGTAGCTCCTCCTCCCGACGGAGGGGAGAGTGTCCTACTCAGAGTCTGAGTCGCAGCCGCGCGTCCGGCCGGGCCAGATTTACGTCGCGCCCAATAAACAGCACCTGGGCGTGCTTGTTTGGGCAGCTCGGACGGATTAGCAGCTGCTTTGATCTGGGGCGCACGCGAGGCCCAGGTGTCGTGGCGGCGGCGGACCGACGAGCAGGCGGCACCGCGCCGTCTGCGCTGGCTCGCTGGGAGTGGCAGGCCGGCTCCGGTGAGCGGCCGCCCGGTGGAGGCCGCCGACCACCTGTGGGAGTGGCGGGAGCCGCCCCGGCTGGTCGGCGCGCCGACGCGAGCCGTCGCCGCCCGGTCGGCCGGGCGACGACGGCTCAGCCGGGCGCTGTCAACCGGCTGTCACTCGGGTGTGTCGCGCTGCTGGGCTTTGACGAGCGGCACTGCTGGGCGGGCCGTCCGCAGGTCTCCGTTCTGCTCACGACACTGGAAGATCGCAGTTGTACAGACCTGCCACAGCGGGCAGTGACGCTGCGGTCCTGACTCCGCCCCGTTCTCCACAGGCACGGTTGAGATCCCCGTCAGCTCGGTCAACTCCAAGTTCTTCGTGGAGAAGTGGTACCCGGTGACCCTGGAGAAGGGCAGCAGCAACAAGCACCCGCCCAGTCTGCGCATCAAGTGCAGGTTCGGCACCATTGCGTTGCTGACGCTCAGTCGGGTCGGGTGCGCTGTCCGCGGGGTCGAGCGCTCTGTCCGTTGGGCCGAACGCTCTGCCTACGGGGTCAAGCGCTCTGTCCGTTGGGCCGAGCGCTCTGTCCGCGGGGTCGAGCGCTCTGTCCGCTGATTCAAGCGCTCTGTCCGTTGGGCCGAACGCTCTGTCCGCCGGACGCTGCGGCCGCTAGCTTCTGCGGGCTGTAAACTCGGACGGCGTGTTAGGCGGGGTTGTAGGCTGGGGAGGACGCGGGTCGATGCCGGAGGCTGGGGAGGACGTGTGGCCGGCCTTTAGCGAAGCTTTCATGGGAGCTCACAGGCCCTGAATACCGTGATTGCGCCACCCTGGGCCTCTTACTCAGATTCGGGTTCACGTAAAGTTCTGAGGACTGTGGAAGATAAGATCAGGCGTGTCCACTTGTGGTAGTAATTGCGATTGGAAAACATGCAGCGCCTGTTTTTAAATCGATTTACTGATGCAGCCTTTTCTTTTCTGTATCCAGGGGCGATGGGGCGAAGTGTCAGACCCCGCCTAACACGATCCCATTTTTCGTTCACCTCGTGTATTTGCAGCTAAATGGTGCGTGATATGCTTTGTTGGACTGGTTGGTTGTCCTGGAAAACCGGCAAGCAGTGTCAAAACTTGTGATGGCTTGTGTGATACCATTGCACCTGCAAGCTGTTCTGGGGATTTCGATCAATTGATTACGACGTTATTCATGGTGAAATTTGTACCATGGATGTAGGATTATATTAGTTTCGTATAATATTATTGACGATTTACCCATTCATCCAGTTGGGACCTGCTGTATGTCATGACACTTAACTTGTTCTTATATTCTTGTGTACCTTGCGTGTCTTTCATTTCTTGAAAAGGAGGTCTGGAGAGCGTTGTACTAGTTGTAATACTTGTTGTACTGGACTGTAATAAGCAAGTTCGGAGACTCGGGCATTCAAAATCACAGACGTATCATTGGCATCTGCTTGGTCGGTATCGTGGCATCTTTCTTCTCCGCGTGTGACAAAGCGGTGGTCCATGCATTAGTGTGCTGGGACGGGGTCGTCAAGTCCCACAGACTGTGGACTTGACGACCCTGAGGCAGTGCAGGCGCCAGGACAGAGCGGCGAGCGTGGCTTACCCTGACGGCCGCACGTCTCCTCGCCAGGTTCCAGGCGGTCGACATCCTGCCGTTGCACGTGTACAGCGAGTTCTTGCACTACGTCACGTCACGGTACGCGCAGCTGTGCGAGATCTTGGAGCCGCTGGTCGGCGTCAAGAGCAAGGAGGACATCGCCACCACGCTGGTGCACATCATGCAGCGGGAGGGCCTGGCCAAGCACCTGCTGGCCGACCTCGTCTGCATGGACGTCACGCGCATAGGTGGGCCGCGCTCCAATGTAGTCCGTCAGCGGCCCGCGCTGCCTTGCGTGTCGCTGCGGATTGTCATGCAGACTCCCGACTCTTGTTGGTCAGAGTAGCGTCAACCGGCAGGGCATAATCAGCACAGGTTTGAAGGGTTTGAAGGGTTTGAAGGTGCTCCCGACATTCTAAACAACAACGTTGGATATCTTACGCTTATGTCTAGTGCGTTGTATGCTGGTTCATGACCAAAGATGCACTCGTTCCTGGTGCTAGTGCTGCTCTCGAGCGTCCACATTGTGTTGCGAATGGCTCGTCCCTCTTCCGTTGTTCTCAACCGACTCACTGGTGCCGCCGGCGGGCCCGCAGACGACGAGCGCCTGACCTTCCGCGGCAACTCGCTGGCCACCAAGGCGACCGAGTCGTTCATGAAGCTGGTCGGCGACCGGTACCTGAACGACACGCTGGGCGAGCCGGTGCGCCGCCTGCTGGAGGCCGGCTCCGACCTCGAGATCGACCCGCTCAAGATCAGCAGTCCGGGCGTGCTGCACAAGCAGCGGCTCAGCCTGCGCGCGTTCGTCGAGGAGATCTGGGCCAGCATCCTGGCGTCTTACACCAACTTCCCGCCGTGAGTACTGCTTGGCTCTCTCGCGGTGGGACGGGGAGGCGGTGTGCGGTGGGGTCGGGTGGAGGGGCTGAGAAAATGTACTGTTGTTTGAGGTGAGCCTACGTTCAAAGGCTTTATTGTCACTTTGTTTGGGCAGTTCTTCGCAAATGTATTTCAGAATACAGTAATTAAGTGCACGGACAACATTTTTTTATTTAGAACCAAACGGGTATAGATTTAATGAAAATCTTATGCGGCATGACATGCAGCTGCTGGCTGGGCGATTTGGACAGTCGTTCCGTTTTCTCTCCCGGTAATGCCCACACTGCGCTGCCCATATGTCGGTAACGCCTGGATGCCTGGTCTGCGTCGGCGACGCAGGAGCGTTGGCTAGTGTCTGACGTGGCCGGGGTCCGTTCCAGGGAGCTGCGCGAATGCTTCCACTTGATCTGCGAGCGGCTACGGGAGGCAGGCAAGGCCGAACAGCAGGACAACGTCATCTCCTCCTGCATCTTCCTCCGCTTCTTCTGCCCGGCTATCCTCAGTCCGAGCCTCTTCAGCCTCACGCAAGGCGAGTGAGGCTGGGCTCTTCAAAAGCCGGCTAGCCACGGGCAGCCACGCGATAAACGCAGCTAGTGGTTCGAGGCAGGCGCCTCTAGCCTCGCATTCATAATTCTTCTGTGAAGTGATGGATGTTTGACTATCCTCCAAGCCACTGCAGTGTTAAATGTCCATGTTTGTGGTGGACCTCTCTGACTTGGTAACGCCTCTTCTAGAGTACCCGAACGAGAAGGCGGTCCGGAACCTCACCCTGGTGGCCAAGACGCTGCAGACGCTGGCCAACTTCACCCAGTTCCAGGGCAAGGAGAACTACATGGAGTTCCTCAACGAGTTCGTCGTGAAGGAGACGCATACGATGCGCACGTTCCTGCGCAAAATCTCGGTGAGTGCGCCGCCGCGCTCGGTCGCCGCCGTCGCGCCGAGCTCCGCGTCACGAGTGATCCTCCATTAGCGCGGCGCGGCGCGATACGATCTCGGCTGACGACGCCCGCGGCGCAGTGACGTCACTGCCGTGCCATGACGTCACGCGAGGCGTCCGATCTGCGACAGCTCCCATCTGTCGCCGGCGTGGCGGGAGCCGACCGGGACAAGGCGGGCGGGATTCGGGGGAAGCGGGGGGGGGGAGGGGGATAGGCGATGCCGGCTCGCCCTGGCACGGGGTTGGGCGGCAGGAAGCGACCTAGGCCTTTGGGCGGCAGGGAGCGACCCGTGCCTCCGGGCGACAGGGAGAGACCCAGGCCTCTGGGCGGCAGAGAGAGGCCTAGGCATCTGGGCGGCAGGGGGAGACCCAGGCCTCTGGGCGACAGGGAGCGGAGCGGCGGAGCGACCCGGGTCTCCGAGTGGCCTCAGGTGGCGTGGGATGCCAACTGAGCGTGCCTTTCGTAATACTTTCGGAGTGGCCCGTCGACACGGTGATAGCTATTGTTAATGTCAATGGGTTCACCGGAACGTTACGCTCATCCTTTGTCTTGCTATTTATCTCAGTGACATAACGATTTCAACATGCACTTGATGGCAGCATGATGACGCATTGACAACACGATGGCGCATTGAGGTTGTTAACAGCGTGACGGGGGCGAGCTGCAATTGCATTTGCCGTGCAATTGCCCAGCAATTGCACGGCAATATTTATTTGTTGCCTGACGCTAGGCGTAGTTATATAGTGTTTTATTTTCGGCACGATGGTGCGTTTGGTCCCACCCACTGACTGACCTTTTGTATACGCTTGTCGTGCCGGTGGGAGATCACTGTTGTCACCCTCCTAACCGAGCTGTCTCCTGACCTGACCCGTAGCCCCCCTGACCACGCTGGTTCCCATGTCGCCAGAGCCCGGCGGGGCGGGATGCGCGCCAGCAGGAGTGGGACGGCTACGTGGACCTGGGCAAGCAGCTGTCGGTGCTGCACGGCCTCCTGCGCGAGTGCGCCGTCAAGGTGACAAACCCGGCGCACCTGGCCGAGCGCCAGCGGCTGGAGACGGTGCTGGCCACGGTGACGGCGGCGCACAGCCAGCCCAACGTGGGCCTGGTGTACCAGCAGCCGCCGCCGCCGCCGTCGGCCGCGCTCGCGCCGCCACCGAACTATCTCAGCCTGCAGCGCAACATATTCCGGTGAGGTTCGGCGCAGGGGCGGCGGAGAAACCGTGGCGGAACGGATGGTATTGTGGTTTAAAGGGCAGGGATCTTCAAAGGCTGTGTTTGGCAAGCGTAATGATCGGCGTTTCTTGTGATTGTGCGACACGTTGGTTCGTGTGCGGGCGTTTCTGTTGACGGACGTTTATCCGCTGCCCAGGTTCAACGACCGCACGTCGTGTGACCGTGAGCCAGCGGGCGCCGTAGAGCCGCCGCCTCCGCCACCGCCGCCGCCTCCGCCTCCGCCGCCACCGTCGGCCGCGCTGGCGCCGGAGAAAGCCTCTACGCTGCCGCGCAACGCCTACCTGCCGGGCAGCTCGAAGCGGGCGGCGCCCAACCTCAACACCAGCGACGACTACGTGCTGTTCAGCGCTCTGAAACCGGGCCGGCCGGGCCATCACCAGCACTTCCACCACCACGCCGGCCAGTACGGGCCGGCCGGGCTGGCCGGCAGTCCGGCGGCGGCGGCGGCGCGCCGCCGCGGACCGCGCGCCGACGACGAGGCCAACGATCACTCGGCCGGGGAGCTGGAGCACAACGTCAAGGGCTCGCAGATCTCCATCTCGCAGCTGTCGAATGTGGCCTCCAGCGGCTACCAGAGCTTCGCCTACAGCCAGAGCTCGAGTCCCGTGGACCCGGCCATCAGCAGCTCGCAGCAGCAGCAGCACCACCACCAACAGCAGCACGCCCCGCTGGCCTTCAACAATCCCATGTACCAGCTGAACAGCGGCAAGCCGCGGGTCACCAGGTGAGAGCACCCGGCAGCGCTGGCGCCTCGCAGCCCGGCGTCCGCACCTTATCACACGCATTAGAGGCCACCTGGCGTTGGCAGCCGACCGTCTGTCGCTCGCCAGAATCAATGTCTCTGGGCGCCGCTTAACTTAGCTTAGCATCCCGCCGCGCGCGAAAACATGACCGGCGACGCGCGTCGGGCTGTTTTGCCACCAAACACAGCGGCGCGCTGCCGCGTGGCCGGCGCCGGCTGACAGCCGCCTCTGTCGTCCGCAGGCCGGCCCAGTACTCGCCCAGCACGTCCGTCAGCTCGGCGCACAGCATGGAGGATGTGCAGCTGGTGATGGCGCCCTCGGTGCCGGCGGCTGCCGGCCGCGCGCCGCCGCGCTCCTCCAGCAGCTCGCCCTCGCCGCCGCGCGAGCGCCGTCATGCGGCCGCGCCGCGAACCAACCCGCGCGCCGCGCCGCCCCCGCCGCCCCCGGCCGGCTCGCCGGAGCTGTACGCACGCGCGCGCCGCCTGAAGGCCAGCCGGCGAACGTCGACTGATGTGCTTGCCACCAGGCGGCAGCAGCAGCGCGGCAGCGACAGCGAGAGCAGCGACGAAGTGCGGCCGGGTCGTGACAGCCGACTCAAGAGCAAGGCGCGGCGCAGCCGGCCGCCCGACAAGTCGTTTGAGGAGGTGAGTCTCACGCTGCTGTCCGTGCCGCTCAGCTCTCATTTGGTTTTGCCCTACCTGGTTGACTGACCTGAAACATTTGTATGTGTGTTTTGCTGTGTTAACCGGTTCCACGCCTGGTCTTAGTGGTAATGCTGTTCCCGCCACGAAACCGAATTTTTTGTTTGAGGAGCCGGTGCGCGTGATCAGAAAACAGCCTTACTGCTGGAGGAGGAGGATCAGCAGCGTCTGAAGCGCGGCGTGTGGGCGGGCCAGCGGCTGGTGACAGTCGAGCCCTGTTTACAGTACGAAGACGAGATCCGCCAGCTGCACGTGCAGATGGAGCAGCTGCACAGCCGGCTGAACGAGGAGCCGAGGACAGCGACGCCGCCGGCCGCCGCGCACATCTGCCAGCCCTCTCCCGTACAAATCACCGAGATACTCAACAGGTAACCACTGCGCCGGGCAAACCACCGTGGTGCGCAACAGGTGATCGCCGCAGTGAGATAGTCCATTGTGTGGCGAGTGGACCAAAGGTCATCCAGATGCTCAACAGATGTCGCCTGAGCCTAACGCATCGCCGATGTGGCTAACAGGTAAAGATTGTGCATGCGAATCATCGAGAGACGCAGCAGGTAGCGAATGCATGGCAAGGGTCGCGAGATACTCTACAGTGAAGAAATGTCCGGTAACAATAATTTAGATGGTTAGCATGGAACGACTGCACTGTACCCTACCCCAGTCAGCAGGCGGCTGACCGCTGTGTGACCCCGACAGGCGGCTGACCTCTGTGTGACCCCGTCAGGCTGTCGCTGGTGGAGCACGAGCTGCGCCGCGAGCAGAGCCAGCTGTCCAGCGTGCTGACAGAGAAGGAGCGGGTCATCGAGGCGCAGCACTCGCGCATTCAGGAGCTGAACGCCGCCAACAGCCAGCTGCACACCATGCTGGCGTCGCTGCGCACCCACCAGTGAGTAGGCGGGACGCGTCGCTGCTTGCCCGGCCTCGGACAGTTGGTGTCCTATGAGCCATGTCTCAGTCCGGCCGCAGCATGGCTCAGGCTACACTCGTGCGTGATGGTGGTGGGATCCCACGTGGGGTGGGGAAGCTGAAGTGACCGGGTTTTGCTAACGCTGGAGGATGTTGTTAAGCCGGCTGCTGGATGACTTGATGCGGCTGAGTTGGACGGCGGAAGGCTGTAACCGCTGTGAGTGCGAGGACGCGTAACTGTAGCATATCTCATCACAGCGCTCACAGCTCACTGTGTATGCCGCTACAATTTCCTTTGGTGGTATCAAAGCTGATTGTATCAACTCAAGGTGGCATCAAAGCTGCGTTGGGAGGTCCACCGATGCTGTTGCATTTTCAGGGGTGGTTGCCATCTAGCTAAAATCCTACAGGCACACAGTTTCAGTTGCGGTCATGGTAACAGCTGTGACCGTTGCGTTTCATGACGTGGCATTTCATGACATTTCATCCGTTCCAGGCACCCGCCGACGCTAGCCCAGTCGACCGCCAACGGCTCGGCCTCGGCACCCATCTCAGACACCTCCGATTACAAGAGTAGTTCGTGCTAGGACTGTAGAGCGCGCCAGGGTCGCGCTGCGGCCGGCCTTGGCTCGCGCCGTGCGGTGTTGGTGACCGCACGCCCGACAGTGTGGCCTGACTAGACCAAAGACTGCCCGTGGCAGGCTATTCAGCTCCGGTTCGTTTGAGTACAGTACGCGCGGCAGCTAATCGTCTCTCCTGTGGAAGGTCCAGTGTGAGGACTTCGTACCATGCCGTCGTCTTGTCGCCTTCGTCATCCATTGAACAGCTGAAAAGCGCTGCATCTCACTCCAGTATCGCAGCGTGGCGCGCTTCTCCGCTTCATGAACTGTGGTGTGCGTGCGTGTTATCTCTTCCTCGTGTGTCGCGTAGGTTTGTCGGCAACTAGTGTTGTTTGCGGAGAACAAAGTTGGAACAGCGGTTAGGCTACCTCCGTCTAGCTGTGCTCTGTGCAATGGTAATGAAGTTGCGTGCTGAGTGGGCACGTATGTACGTAAATTGATAGTCATCGGCTGGCGTCGTGGCGCTGCATAGATTGCTTTGTTAGAGCCAACCTTTAAGTGTTTGCACCGTGTCACAATCAGGTTGCAAGTTTCTGCAAAATAAAAGTTTCTTCATGAACTGATCCATGCTGATTGGCACGCGGTGACGGGCTGTTTGACAGAAGCAACACCAGAAGATTAAATGATATCATTATGAAATTGCCACGGGGCACTCCATATAGATCTGACAAGCCGTATAGATCTGACTGCTGTATCTCAGGGCTGCGAAGCAATTTATTAATGTACGGTAGACTTCGGGATGAAGAATGTGAGCCCACGGCTTTTATAAACCATGAGGAACGCTATTCATGCAGTGTGCGCGCCAAGATCAGACAAACCGAAATGCTCTTAAAACGCTCACAGGCGTGTACTCGCGTCAGATGCTCACAAGCTGCATCACCTGATTTCGTGTAATGTACTAAAACTGGGCGTCAGACAGAGCAAAACATGCAAATATTCAGCCATCGAGACCGCTTCAATCCAATAAAACTTCACGTACCGGTAAAGACTGGCTGAACCATCACTCCACACCAGAGTGACTACATCGAGGGTCCAGTCACTCCCGCGCGCACACACGAAACAATGCATGTTTCATGCCCTTCAGATTTGATCATCCGGCTCTTTTTCACAAACGCCGGCCGCCGTTTACCCATCTTCGTGGTTTAGACACAAGTCCGCAACGTCCCCTGCTCGCTGGCGCGCGCCCCGACGTTTGGCTACCCAAGTCACATTTTGATCGCGAACCCGCTGCTATCGGCATACACCATACCTCGGCCCAAGCATTGGCATGCTGCACACGCTGAGCCATCGCTACATGTGCCGCTTGCAGAGAGACTCGATGCTCGGAAGAGGCGACGGCCCGATGCCAGCCGTCAGCTACAGCCCGGCGCGGCGCTGGCTGGTGCGGGGGCGGCGGGGTTGGGAGCCGTGCCTGGCCCGGAGCACTATGGCCGGAGCCCCAGCCGGCGCACGGCGGCCAGGAAACTCCAGCGGCGGCCGACACCGCCCTCTGGCGGCGGGCAGCGGCAGTCCGGGTGGTCCCGACCGCAGCCGCCGACACGGTCCACTGGGGGACAGCGCGGCGGCCGCTCCGGTTCCGGCTCCCGCTCCCGCTCCGGCTCCGGCTTCCGACCCGGCTCCGGCCTCGGCTCCACAAGCTTCGGCTCTGGCTGTGGCTCTGGCTCCTGTGTTTCCGGTGGATCCGGTGGGTGGCAGGGGACGTGCGTGCACACCACGCGGTCCCCACTCTGACAACGACACTCGCTGCACTCCTCCATCCAGATGGCGCCTCGATCGCAGCGGAACGGCATGACATCTGGCGGCAGGAGAGGGGGGGGGGGAGAGGGACGGTCAGTGCTTGAACAAGCAGAGTTGGAGGCACGGCGCGTCATTCCTAGTGCTTCTTGATGGCTGCGGGTTCTTACCAGAGGACATGTGCACTGCATTGGTCATTGGGCACCTTTGCGTCCCAAGGTTCTCCAAAGGTCTTGCTTCCGCTGTGCAGTTTCAACAATCAACACCGTGTCCGGTTATCAACCTGAGGACATGTGTGATGAGACGATGTCGCATGATAAGCAGCCAAGTGTCAAGTGGCGCTAGTGTTCGGTATTCGCGTCCAGTCCATGGGTAGAGATGGGAAAAGACCATTTGTACCCCACTTTTGGTTACATATATATATATATATATATATATATATATATATATATATATATATGTATATATATATACACTCGCCTCGTCTCATCTCGTCTTGTCTCGGGACTCGTCGCCATCGCCCTATTCACGTAATATTTACGGCGACTGATATCTCCTGGTTGAAGTCGTTTACCCTGACATGCAGGATCACACAGTTATCCGTGCATGTGTACAAGAATACTAAGTACAAGTTTAAATACACCCTATATCTACCTGGGCTTGTAAGCATTATATGTCTTCCGAAATGGACAGAACCCAGTAAACCGACAACGACCCCGGGCGTGACTTGAGGAGTCTGACAGCTTTTCCTGGTAAGACACACTTCAAATGGCATGACTTTAGCTAGCTTCACGGACACTTATCTGCCGGCTGTTTTCCGAGACGTTTTACAATGTCTCGGGAAGAAACCGGCACGTTCGCAAAATTTCAGGGATTATCAGATCAGCAAATTGAGAATTAGACGACACAAGAAAGCAGCAGGAGAGGACAACGCCGAACGATGTGGACCCTTGGAACGGCGCTTCTGTGGTGTCGTCCATCCCCCTCTCAGTATCTACGTTTCAGCAGCAGCACGCGCGCGTGTTTCTCGCGGAGCGTCTATCGATGCGCCGGGGAATCAAACGCAAAAATCCAGCAGCTCAAGCTATTGCTAAGGCAACACATTCTCACATTTCTGCCCCCCCCCCCCACGCATTTGTGCGGTACACGGTAACACTTGGCCAACATCCCCTAGGGTGCCACCTCAATACCGATTGTTTGTTTTGCTCGTTCCGTTGGCGGTGTCCGTCGCATGGACGGTCCGATTGAACGCGTGCAAAATTTGAGCCATCTTATCAAAATATAAAGATGCCCAAAGCACCAACAAACTTCCCTTTTACATAGCATAGATGATGGGCGTGGGAACGGCGAGTTTGTGAGTGCCGTTGCACCCCCACTTTCTGAGAATGTCAAGCATTGAGATGCGCCCGGGTGCCCGTGGAATAGCGCAGCTCGGGTGTAGGGGGTCAATTTGACCACTGGATGTCTAAAGAAACTAAGAGAGAGAGAGAGAGACAGGGAGGGAGAGAGAGAGAGAGAGAGAGAGAGAGAGAGAGAGAGAGAGAGAGAGAGAGAGAGAGAGAGAGAAAGAGAGGGGAGAGAGAGAGAGGGAGAAAGAGAGGAGGAGAGGGGGAGAGAGAGAGAAAGAGAGAGGGAGAGAGAAGGGAGAGAGAGAGAGAGAGAGAGAGAGAGAGAGAGAGAGAGAGAGAGAGAGAGAGAGAGAGAGAGAGAGAGGGAGAGAGAGAGAGAGAGAGAGAGAGAGAGAGAGAGAGAGAGAGAGAGAGAGAGAGAGAGGGGGAGAGAGAGGGATACACCAAAATCACAATGCATGCTGGCCCTCATGTCAACTCACTTTCGTCACATTTGAGGCTCCTAGGCCATGACCCGCGGGCCAAATAAGGTTAAACAAGGTCGAACTCCAGGTTGGTGGTCAAAGTGCGTTCCGACCTCCTCACGCAACCGTCTTGAGCCGAGATACCTATTCTGAGCACAAAAAAAAACTCTCAGAGGTGCATCGCTTCGTCTAAAAATCCCTTATTGCATCATAATGAGCGATTCCCAAGAAATTGCCTACGCTGACAGCCAAGGTCTGGTTTGACCTGTTATACCTCAGCAAACGTGCAGACCGCATCTAATGTTTTGCACACAAAAATCCGCTATTCAGTTGCCTACAGCCATGAAAAGTTTGACGCCGCCACGTAGCACCACTCGGAAATTATTGTTGAAGAGCCTTCGTGAGTCAAATCGACCCTCTCCACCCGAGCTCGCATTAGCCCTATGGCGAAGCATGGAAGGAGCCGACTCTGAGGCACCCATGGCAATACTTTCTGATCCAAGACATTTCTTTATGATTTGCTCCTACATCAATGGGTCAAGTAGACATGGGAGGTGCGGGTTATGAGCGTCGTGATCCACCAACGTAAGTGCATCCACTGAGGGAAGAAAAACATGTTCCGAAACATTCCTTAAATGGGATTTTGTCCGTACATCTAGGTTTATTTGTACAATGGATGTTTTCCACGTTGTTCTATTGAAAAACATAATTTTCAGGCCAGGTAAAACTGTTCCCTTCAGATTTAAGTTCGGCTCAATCTCATTTACACCATTCCAATGACAGCTGACAGAAGTTGAGACATTCCTATGAAAAAAAAGCACTAAGGTGGGCGTGAACCCTGTTTTTAGCACCGATGTGTGCAAACAAATCAACATTGTGCGTTTTTTTCATGTTCCGGCTGCGAAAGGCCTCATTATGCAGCCGCTGTGCAGATAGATGCTTTGGCTTTGTTTTACATTTGTGTTTTTAATGAACACCTTCATGAATAACGTCTGTACGCGGTATTGGAACTGCATTAGCTTAGAAGGAGGGTTGGACACAACTTCCAAAGATCCGGGTTGGAATCCCTGATGAGGTTTACATTTTCAGTGTCTGGCAGATGAACAATATCATCTAACTGCAAGTCGGCTGCATAATACTGTCCTTCACAGCCGGAGCATGGATAAAAAAACAGCAAACTCTCCATAAAATGAGCGGCTATAAAGCCAAATCTCCATAAAACGAATTGCGTTTTTCCTATTTCCACGTCATTCAGCCATTCAGTGGTTAAGTATAGCCTGGTCCCAATGGCGAAATCGGGGAGGCAGCTGTGGTTATTGATTTCTCCGTAAGGTGTTACAATTTGTCTCTAGTCTTCAGATACAAATAACACGTGTATCTAATCTAGCACATGCATAGATTGATCAAACTCCTTCTCGTCAGTACTGAACCGTGATCTTTCCAGGTTCCTATATCCGCCGTTATCCAGAGTACTCACTCTTGGACCCAGGGGCCCAAGGCCTTTCTTCTTTGTCAGTGATGGCACTTGTAACATTAATGGCCAGGGAACATTAATGGCCAGGATTCTCTTAAGGAAGGGACGGAGCCTGACGAGAGCACATCACGCCAATTTTGAGCTCTCTGTCCAGAGCCGTCTATGGTGACATATAAAGAATGCGGGCCTTGGTAGGGAGGCCCCAGACCCCAGGCCCTGGCGATGGATAATAAGTGAATATGCATGTGGTGGATATGGTAGTGTATAACGGATCATAGAAAATCTGGTTCAACACCTTGTGAGGCCTGGTCATTCTGTGAGGGCTTAGTTTGTTACGGTCGCCCAATTATTTGTCACACGTACTGATCGTGTCCGCCCCGCTGACTGGTACCATTACTGCTGTCCCTTGAGCTGTATTCGCATTTACACAGAAGCATGGATTCAAAACATATTTATTGGATTGTCATTGTTAGAGACCTCAAGTGCGTGTTTCATTGCTGACATTAGTCATAGCTTTGTCCGAGTTTTTCTTGGACGT